GGCAGAGAGCGTCCTCCTCACCAGTCTTCCCGCAGCAGCGCCGCCGGCCTGGGCCCTCGGGAGTGAGCGCGGAGTGGCTGTTCTCAGGCCCCCGGCTAGTGGGGGTTCTGGGCGGGAGCTCAGAGCTGAGCTGCAGAATCCAACACCACTGCCGCCCCCCCTGCCCCAATCCCCTCACCAACCGCAGCCTCCCTCTCCCCGCAGGGACCCCTGCCAGCCGCACCACTGCCCGGCCTGCGTGGGACCTGAGAGCCGTGGCCCCGGGACCGAAGCTGGACGCCCCCAGCGGGCTGGCCCAGGAGGGGGCTCCGGGTAGGTAGGATGGGCCGGGCCTGGGGTCCCCGCACACTCACACTCGCCCCGGGAACAGCCGGCGGCTCAGCCCCACCACGCGGTGCTGTGGGTCAGGGCCCCTCACACTGAGGTGGGACGTCACCCCAAGCCAGCCCCTCCCTCTGGAACCTTCTGTCAGCTGTGGGTTAACTGAGCGGTCAGGTCAGGGGCTTGCAAGCCCTAAAGCGCGGGGCTCTTGGAAGGCTCGGAGGGGCCGCTGGGGAACCCGAAGCCGTGAGCTGCTTTCTGAGGGTGGGGGCGGAGGTGAGGCTGGCGTGCTTGGGGCCTCAGTGGCTCCAGCAGCTGAAAGTGGGGACCCTGAGGAGGACCGAGCTCAAAGCCAGCCTCCCCCAGGGCCAGTTTCCAGCGAGGCCTCAGCTCCAGTCGTGAAATTGTCATGCAAATGTTGCTGTCAACTCCATTACCTACTGAATGGTCTTGTCCATCACCTCCACTGAGAAAAGGTAGGGCCTCGGAGGATGAGGCACAGGGGTGTGCCGCTGTGGCCTCCAGGGCCTCGGCATTGACTGTGGCACCGCATGGGCCAACCCGACAGGGATCCGGACCTCTGTCCAGAGCCTGCCTTGGGCGCGGGAGGCCACATCGGTGCAGTCCGAGCAATCCGCGCTTCTGGTTCCAGGGGAGGGGCTGGCTGGCAGGAGCCAGGACAGGGGCTTGGGATTTTAAAAATATATATATATTTTTAGCCCTAGCCAGTTTGGCTCAGTGGATAGAGTGTCAACCTGCAGACTGAATGGTCCTGGGTTTGATTCTGGTCAAGGGTACATGGCTGGGTTGTGGGACATGCAGGAGGCAGCCAATCAATGATTCTCTCTCATCTTTGATGTTTCTATCTCTCTCTCCCTCTCCCGTCCTCTCTGAAATCAAGCCCACAACCCAAGCATGTGCCCTTGACCAGAACCGAACCCAGGACCCTTCAGTCTGCAGGCTGCCGCTCTATCCACTAAGCTAAACCAGCGAGGGCGGGACTTCGGATTTGAAAGTAAACTGTAAGGAGGAGGTAGCTGCCAGAGAAAGGGAGTGGGGGCTGAGGCACCCTGAAGTCAGAGGGGGATGTGGGGGTGTGAGTGACAGGATAAGGAGGTGCAGCAGGCCCCCCTGTGCAGACACTGAGCACAGGTGAGCACACGTGGACACGCACAGAGCCCGTCCATGTCAGGCTCACCGTCTCGAGCGAGGAGAGGTCGCTACTGGAAAGGAATAAGCCATTCGTTCTAGACTAGAACATGGTGGAAGGTCAGGGGTCCGAGGGGACGTTTGGGCTGTGACCTGAAGGGCACCGGGCATTGGCGTGGCATCGGGGCAGGAACAGCCCGGGCAGGGGAGCAGCGGGCGGTGCAAAGGCTGGATTTGCTGCCAGAGAAGATGCAAGGATAAGGCTTAGGTCTCACTTTCTCCTTCCCGCCGAGGGATGGAGGTTCCTTACGCTAATGTTATCCGGAGGGGAGCTATTCCTGTCCTCCCTTTTGTTCCTTTTTGTTGTTGTTAATCCGCATCGGAGGATATTTTTTTCCATTGCTTTTTCAGAGGGAGTGGAAGGAGGGAGGGAGGGATGGGGAGAGAGAGAGAGAGAAACATTGATGTCTCACTGGTTGCCTCCAGCAACCAGTGCCCTGACCCCTGACCCCTGACCAGGGTTGGGAGTGAACCCACAACTCAGGTACATGCCCTTGGCTGGGAATTGAACCCATGACCCTTTGGTGCACCGGGCATGCTCTAACCATTGAGAAACACTGGCCAGGCTCCCTTCCGTTCTCAATAGCTTGAGCTGCCTGAGGGGATTAGTACCCACAAAGGTGCCCGGGAGAGGCGGAAGGGGCAGAAGCAGCCAGAGGGGGCGGAAACCATTCCCCCCAAGTTGGAAAGGAGACTTTGGGTGGGCGGTTTCCTCAAGTATTGGGCACCTTCACCCTCATAGCACCCCGGAACTGAGAGAGGCCCTGCCAGGGCACAGCTCTGAGGTGGCTCGGCAGGGTGGGACCCGACCCAGAACTAGCAGAGGCCCCGTGAGGCAGGCAGGTCCAACCCTCCGTGTCACCCAGGAAGCGTGTGTGCACCCGCGGGACATGCTCGAAAAACCCAGGACAGTAACTGAGAGCACAGTCCCCTAAAACGCATGGCCTGGGTTCCAGTCCAGGCTCCGCCTCCTCCCTAGCTGTGAGGCTTCAGGCAAGTTTCTTAACCTCTCTGTGCCTTAGTTTCCTCATCTGTTAAATGGACATAAAATGCACCTTTCTCCTGGGCGGTGGTGAGGACTAAAGGAGCAAAGGCAGGCCAAGGCCTACAGTCTCGTATCTGAAGCTCTTTGGACCAGACATTCTAGAGCAGGGGTGGGCAAACTTTTTGACTCGAGGGCCACAATGGGTTCTTAAACTGGACCAGAGGGCCGGAACAAAAGCATGAATCTAGTGTTTGTGTGAACTAATATAAATTCAAAGTAAACATCATTACATAAAAGGGTACGGTCTT